TGTAGTTGTAGTAAACTACAAAAATAATGTAGTCTTTTCGACCACTGGATTTGCCCGAAATTAAATTTTTTTCGAAGTTTACTTCTCAATAAATATTCCAGAACACTTTTAGTTCTTATTCTAATTACAATAGAAATATTTTTTTATTTTTTTAAAAAACTCTTGGCTTCTTTTCAACGTTTCTAACTCTTCCTTTTGCTAGCTTTTTTTTTTTGCTCAAAATGGTAAATTTCTACGCGCAAGAAAATTTTTTTGAAGAGCGCAATCTTTTTTGTATTCATTTATTTATTTCATTTGTGAAAATTGCGTTGATTTTAGGATGTTTTCTGCAGTGATATAACCCATGAACTATTTGAAAAGTATATTCTAATTAATATTTTCAAAATACCACTTCGTGAAGTTAATGAAAAGTGCATACTAATTACTAGAGAACATAACAATTTTCATAAAAAACTGTAGCAATTTTCTGAAAATTTATAAAATATGGTTTGAATTACTGTAAAGAATATAGAATATCGTTCGCCTCCCCCCATAACCCATCTAAAATATCGGTTTGCTTAACTGCTAAGAACAATGCCCTAACCACAGTTTTAGCTGCTCTTCTTCCAAATTCACCTAGTATCCTAAAAGAGGATTCTAAAAAAATCCTTCTCTGACGTCGTAGTTGCACAGATCAGTGTAAATCATTCGTAGCCTCCGGAAAAATTTATAAATTCCTCTTATTGTATTGACATCTGCTAAAAATATAAAGAAACGCTGTCAGGTCAATAATCAAAAGTTTTAATTTAATATCTCAGTTTTAGCCTAATTTAGAAAATCGATACTTCAATAAATATTTTCATTAACATCGCAGCTAAAATAATAATAATATTACAAGTTGTATATTATATTTATATAAAAGTTTTAGCGTTTTTTTTTCTTCTTTTTTTGACGAATAAGCTACAAATATGAATTTTACCTCTAAATATAAGTCCATTGTAAGACAATGTAAATCACATAACATATTCGTTGTGGGGATAGAGCCTTCGCTTTTAAAAATGAGGAGAACCGGGAACGAATCCCCCAATGACTGGTTGATACGAATCCAGCTTGCACCGACCACAGTGCTGACTTGAAATATCCTCAGTGAAATATCCCCTTTGCCGTCAGGTTAACCATGGGAGGTTCTCGTAGCCTTTCTCTCCATGTAACGCAAATGCGGGTTAGCTTATTGTGGGGAATTAATTTCTCATGTCAACAAGTAGAAAAATTTCGTTAGACTATTCATCAAAAAAAACCAACGAAGGCAAAATTTCTCCCAATACTTGATCCCTTTGTCTTCTGGTTTGAGTTCAAAATTACAAGGCTACAGAGTTCAACCAGAGTTAAGTGGCGAGCCCGAAAATTTAGTCGGATGTTCAAGGACGTTTATAAAATAAAATAAGTTATTCGTTAATTTGTATGTTAAAAAAAGTTTAGTATTAATACATTTTTACTATATTTTCCCCTAGAAACAAGTTCATTTTTTTCTGAACGCGAGTACATTATAAGATATTATTAGTGCATTCTAATCCAAAATAAGTTCTTTGTCAGCCCATTCGAAAAAGAAAAAACATTATGGCACGACAAAAATAAGTTATAAATAATTTTTGTCCTGGAAACCTTAAATTTGAATTTCGCCTTTAAAGTTAGCCTTTATTAGTAAGTAGTTATACTTCTAGATATTTTCCCAGAATCAAAATCGCCGCTCATTGTAAAGATTCGTTTGGTCATTTACATAAATATAGAACGCTTTCTAAATTAGGTTTTATATATTTTATGATCTAGAAATCTGACGTTCCAGATCACAATCGCCAAAAAACATTCAAAAATTTCCAAATTATCTTTAAAAAATGGCCAAAATAAGCTTTAAGTGGTTTTTGACATAGAAACCGCAATATTGATTTTGGCCTCAAAATATTATTTTGCAGTAAAAATTTTGTTACCCCAGGGATCCCACCAAAAAAAAAATTCACATTAGACATTGCTTACCCAATTTTTGACCACGAAACAAAAGTTTGACAGTTTTGACTAAACTTTTTAAAAATCTAAGATTTTTAGAGCAAAATTTTAAATTTTACAACTCAGAGTTAGCCCTATATGAGGATAAGGTTTGCTTATTTTCGCGCACCAAACTTTTTAATTAGTCTACTTGCTGAAAAGTTTTTTTTTTTTTAAGTCGTGATGTCCAAGTGGCTAACTCACTGGTCACTGAGATATACTGGTCATTGGAAAGAAATAAAAAATGGAGATACAAACCCGGTTGTCTAGTCGAAGCTCTCCAATTTCGAATGGACCGACTTGACTTGGAAGTAAAGGGGGCCGGTGCTTCATGCTGATGGTCTCGTAAGTGTGGACCTTCTGGGTCACATTTGCTAAATACTTTCTTCATACCTGTTTAAAACTGTGTTTTTTTTTTCAGCCAAAACAGTTTTTGATTGACTAAAAAAAATTTTGAACTAAATTTACGAATTTCGTTACAAACTCTTAGCTTATTGTGGGGAATTAATATCTCATGTCAATACAACTGAAATTTTCGTTAGTCCACCCATAAAAAAAGGGAAAATAGCCACAACAGAAACAGGTTTCAACTGATTTTTGTCCAAAGAACCAAAAGTTTAAATGTTGATCAGCCGAAATATAGTTATGGTCCGGTTGTGTTTCTAGTTAAATTATGATGTTAAACACCTTATGCTATTCCACCAAATTTAAGATTATTGTAGGAAATCGTTAACCTTCCAACCAATTTTAACCAAAACGAATTTGGGCTAAAATGTAAAGTCGCATGTATAAAATTGAATTTTGCTTCGAAACGTTGCCCATTTTAGAAAATCGTTAGCTCGCGTCGGCACACCAAAATTTTTAACTACAACAAAATTAATGACCAAAATACGTTTTAGATAATTTTTAGTCCAATTTCGAAAGTCATTAGCCCAATAAAAAAAGACTTATGACTGAAATGAGTTCTTGAACCAGAAGTTGTAATTTTGCATCTAGAAAATTATGAATTAATTACAAATTTTCGTAAGCGCGTTCGTCTGAAAGAGTTGCGCTAAATAGTTGTAAAGCTAAGTTGAAAATTTTTGAAGGTGTTCATCAATGATATTGTTTTTTACAACAAGTTGATTACAAATTAGATATAAGAAAGTAACTAGGCTGAAAAAACAAAGATATTGAAAGGAATATTGGTATGAGTTCTGCCACTCTTCGCGTGTTGTTTGTGGTGCAAGCTGACAACCTGCAGGTTTACTCATCTAAATTTTTTTTAACGACCGCTGAGAAATTAGTAGGAAGGTATTTCTGATCAAATAACGAGTTTGAATTTAAGTTCTAAATTTTAGTCTAATTTTGGAACTCGTTTGTCCAAAACAATATTTTCGTTATCCCATCCTCCAAAAAAAAAGTTACGTCTTAAAAAGGTTTTAGCAAATTTCTTTGAAAAAAAAGTCGAATTTTGCCTTCAAGCGTTAACTTATTGGAGGATGTCGTAAACCCCTCTAAACTTATATTTTAACCTTTCTCCAATATGTGAATTTTTCCTTCTTAATTTGTGTTTTAGCTTTAAGCTTAATGAATGAGTTTGGAACTTTCATGTTGATTCGGTTTGGGATTAAAAGTTTATCAATAACTCATTGTTAAATATAGAAATTATTCTTAAATTTAAATATATTCCACGTACCTCCCGATGAACGTTTTAGTTAAAAGAAATTATACGCGGCATAAAATACATTCTATATTTCAAAGTTAGTTGTTATCTTGATATCCAAAATATTCTGCTAAATTACCCAAGTCAAAATTTTTGATGGTTTTCCCTTGAAGGACCAGCATAATCTTAATGGCAACCATCAATTCCACCATGAAACCATTATAATTTTGATGGTAACCAAAATAAATAACCATCACCCAAAAGTAGGAATTAGAATGATTTTTTATGGTTCAACATAAGAATAGCAACATGTTTTAATGGTTTTTTCTTGTTAAACCATCAGAAATTTCCACCAGTTTCTTAGAAATCAAGTGTAGGAACGATCATCCCAATGTAGGAACCGATTTATGATGGTCCAACATAAAAAAATGCTAAAATGTTTTGATGGTATATTCCTGAGAATTCACATTAAACCATCAAGGTTGGAACCATCATGGATGGTTGGTCCATGAGAATTAAACTTCTCTTGATGGTTGACCATTATGGTATTAAAGTAGCAATTTCCATCATGGAATAATGGAAGTTTGATGGCATATGGAGAACCATGAACGCATAATAGAAAATGATGGATGATGATGACCATCGAATGATATTAGACCATCATGAATCTCACTGGAAAAAAACCCCATCAAAATGCTTTACAAGCAATGGGTAGGCTTCTTTCACAGAAGACCAGAACTCTCCGAGTGTTTTTGAATCGAAATCCATTTTTAGCAAGGACTTTGTTCTAAGATCAATAAGCTCATCTTTGGCAAGGTTCATATCATCGATACAGTCAATATCACAAAGAAAAGGATGACGAATCCACAACTCATCTTTTATCTTTATCTCATCTAAATTAAAATATTTTTTCAATGAAACTTGAAGTACTTCCAGGTGTTCACAGATTCTATTTTTTAAGTTATTCAGTAACAAATTATCTTGCCGAGATCCATTTTGAGAAAGCACTTCGTCCAACATTTAAAAGTTTGCGTATATCTCATTTTGAATTCTATTTTTTTCAAAGTGGCATCTTCAATTAAAATGCTTGTAATTTCTAAGTTGCATCCATAATGGTGATATCGGGTCCTTGAATTAAAAGACTTATATTGCTCATGTGGTTAAAATTATCAGCCAGGTAAGCCAATTTATAGCTAAAATCTTTTTTGTTTAAATATTCGAAGAATGAATTATCTTTTTCTTCTAGAACAAGTGATAATTCGATCTTCAACATGAAAAATTGTTTCAAAACCTGCCCTCGTGACAGCCAGCGCAATTCCGTGTGGTACAGAAGTACCTCATGTTCTGCGTCCATTTCTTGACACAGCGTTTTAAAGAGACGATGATTAAGAGCTCTACGTCTAATAAAATTTACAGTTTTAATAACTTTTGATAATGCTTCTTTTAAGCTGGTTGGAAGAGTTTTTGTAGCCAGCGCATGTTTATGTAAAAAACAATGAGTAACAAGAACATTAGGAGACTTTTTTTTTACCAACAGGGCAAAACCAGATTTATTGCCAAGCATCACAGGTGCTCCATCTGTACGAAGTGAATGAAGTTTTTCTTTCCAGCCGAAGTCTTGTTTGGTAAAGAAAACATTTAACATTGCTAAAACATCAACTGCCTTTGTAGTTTGCAAAAGAGACTCACAAAATAAAAATTCTTCTTTGATAGTATCAAGAGACACGTAACGAACAAAAACAAGAAGTTGACTATAATTCGAGATATCTGTAGTTTCATCCAGTTGCATACTAAAGGGAAATGGCGATACTTTCAATTCATCGATGATCTTTTTCAAGATATTGCAAGAAATTTCAACTATTCTTGAATGTGTCACATCATTTGAAAATGGAATTGCCTAAAGTTTTTTTTATCTGTTCCAATCTACAAACTAATTCAACCATCTCCAACGCACATGGCTTAATTAACGTCTCTCCAATAGTATGCGGTTTCTTGCTTTTAGCAATGTGATATGCAACTTTGAGAGATGCCTCAACCAGAGGCTTTTGTGGAATACCAAATCCAAGTTTGTCTAATGTTCCAGATTTCAAAAACTGAGCTTTCTTCTAGCAAAAAATTCTAGATCTAGTAACCCGAGTGGTGAGTAGATCTAGTAACAAGGTGTCAGATGTATGTAGCTTGATAGGGGATAATAAAAATAGTGCAGCTGACGTCATCAAGGGGTTTCCCCTGATGGTGCAAACTGAAAGCCGGTTAGTGGAGGATGTTAAAAATATGACGGGGATATTAGAGGGCTGCGTGCAGTCCGTACTGAATTTGGGGTATCTCGATCACCCAGTTTCAAATATGTATGTATTTTCACCTTTTAGAAAGAAAAAAAGATCAATATTATTTAAATATTATTGATCCAAACGTTTTAAAAATTAGGAGTAGTCGCTGAACCCCCAAAATATGACCCATGGACCCCTAAGGGGTCCATGAACCACAGGTTAAGAAACCCTGAACTAAACTATTGTATATTACTGCAGTTTGTAGCGATTCCTGGCAACTATTTTTAATGCTAATTAAATTAAAAATTTCTTATGGCTATTTGAAAGGCAAGACCATGATATTTCCCAATTTGTTTTTAATGTTCTAAAGAAATGAATACTTAATTCAAAAAATATTTTTTGCTATGAAAAATAATAAAGGAAATAAAATTAATGCATTTTAAAGTAATATAGTTGATATTGTAACAAAAAGTTTGCACATTTGTAGGTGTTAGAAGAAGTCCTATGATTATTTGTATGATTGTGTTCTGCAGTGGTCTACGCAGTGCCAAAAACTCCTTCATTCCGGACATCTGTGACCACGTCTTCTCAACTCTCAGATATTTTAATAACAAAAGCTCAAAAATATTTTTTTAAAAAAAGCTCAAAAAAATCAAAAATATTTAGTATTGCAAAACTCATTACTTACCATATTTGTTTGTGTAAAGAATTATATCTAGTTAGAGAAAATTATCTCTTTTGATGAATTGATTTGGTATCAAAATCAATTAAGTGAGAGATTGTATTTAACCCCTTAATAGTTGCATCATTTTGAAGAAAACAGTCATAAAAGTGGCTGTTTTTTATTCAAAAAAATTATACAAAACTAAGTGTTTATACAATATCTGTAAACATTTTTAATTTTTTGTTAATTTTAAGCTTAAATGTTTGATGATTGTGGCCGACTTCTACTTTATTAGCACTAATTAAATAGCGAAGTTGAAGTCACCCTTTGAGATTGAAATTCTTAATGGGAAAAAATGAGATTTATATTTCGCCAAAATCCGATCATTAGAGCAAAAGTTCTTCAGAGTGTATTTTTGCGCACGGTACACATATCTATTGAGGTTGTTCATATGCAAAGGTGTACAAATTGACATATTTATTGCTACATTTTTTAGCGCAGCCATAGTGTTACGTTAGTTATTTATTGTTAGTTCCCAAAACCTCAAAAAGTTTTAAACTTCATTTATATGTAGGAGAAATCACATGATCTAATCACATTTATAAATTGAATTTTTTAAATATTTTTTGAGAAATATCAAAAAATGTGTGAGTATCGAAGAGTTTCCATTATTTTGTCCGACCCCCGTACTTAACAGGGCTCGAAAAACCGCCCGTCATCGGCGGTCAGAAATTCCCCGCGGACAACGAATTTCTCGAATCCGACGTCCGCGCGGACGGCCATTTTCCCGTCTTGACCTCTGTCATTTAAATTATTTCATAAAAGAAATAAATTATTTCATAAAAGAAATACTAGGTTACTATTAGTAACCTAGTATTTCTTTTATTACTGTATAATGTAATCGTAGTACTTGTAATCCTAGTAACTACTAATTCATTGTACAATTTATATAAATGTTTGTAATAAATAAGAGAAGATTATATTTTTATTTATTTAGAAGCTACGCGTTAGTTTCAAAAGAGGACGGGTACATTGTTGGACAAGCCGTCTTCGGGAACGGGTAAAATTTCTGAAGTTTTTCGAGCCCTGCTTAATCTAATGTATTAATACAAAAAATTTGCTACTGTTAAAAAAGAAATATATTTTCTGAAAATATAGAAATTCAGTTGTGACTGGGGGATATGTTTATAATGTAGAAATTGATGACTTTCCTGTTTCAATGCTCAGTACCCGTTCAGTTGTAAAAAAAAAAAAAATAAGTAGTAGCTTTTGAAAAATCGCGATCTAATGAATTATTGTAACCAATGTAATTCAAATAACATAAATGACATTTCTGAACACAATTTCTATTTAAAAGGCAAAACCGTGATAGTTCCAAGTTTATTTTTAACATTAAATTTAAAAAAACAAATTTTTGAATACTTAATAGTTAAAATATTTTGCAATAAAAAACAGTAGTTGGAATAAAACAAATGTTTTTTGAAGTAACATGTTTAATATTGCAACAAAGTGTTTGCACATTTCTAGGTTTTAGAAGTCCGATGAATTCTTATTATTTGTATGTATTGTGTGGCAACAGCCTCGGTGGTGGTCTACTCAGTGCCAAAAACTCCTTGATTCCGGACAGCTTAGTTCCGGATATGCGACTTTTTAAAAATCTTTCGGTACGTCTTTTTAACTCTTAGATATTTTGATAAAAAAAGAATGAAAATATTTTAATATTCATCATTTTAAAACTTTGAAGTTCTCATAATTATTAGTGCAAAAAGTTATATTGAGTTACATTGAAAAATTATCTTTTAGATAAATTGATTCGACATTAAGGCTAATTAAGTGAAATATTATATTTAAAATTAGTGGTCGGAAGAACTACATTATTTTTGTAGTTTATTACAATTACAACTACTTTGTTACAAATGTAGCTAACTGCAACTGTAACTACAACTTTTAAATGTAGTGACTACAAACTACTGTTCAAAATGGTTGTGAATAACAAATTGACTTACATTAAATATGAGGGAATAATTAAGAGATATTTATGTTCACAAGAGAGAATTTGTTTTTCCAAAATATTTTATTTTTCGAATTTATTTATTTAACCTCTATACCTATTTCGATAGTGAATATTTAATTTCAGAAATGCGAAAATATCATATAATTGCATCTTTTCCATTGTTTAATGCTCTTATATTTCTTCTTAGAAAATTACGTGCATAAAAACTGAGTTCTGTTTCTTTGAAATAACATCAATGTTTCACAAGTGTGCATTTGTATGCGTAAGCGTGACCAAAGTGATTAATTGTCTATTTTAATTGCTAGTTAGACGTGATTTTAAATACGCAATATCTGTTGATGCTCGGCTGCAGCCACAGGGTCATTTTCATGGCATCCACTGACTGAAGATTTGTACCCATCAAATTCGAAAAATGAAATACTTCTTTTCTCAACTAGCGTAAAATGTAGTTGGCTATAAACTACTGTTTATTTTTATCTTCATAAACTACTTTAAAAGAAAAAGTATACTACAAACTATGAAAAAAGTAGCGCACTACAGTAGTTTCATTACTTGTAACGCGTTACTTCTAACCGCTGTTTAAGATAATTCTTTTATCTAAAACGTAAATATAATCTCTTATTAATGTTTTTAAATTGTGTGAATAGTTTATATGCATTTTTTACACTACCTAAGACCATATTAATATTTTTTTAAATATTAATTAATATAATTAAATAATTTTCATGTGGATCTCGAAAGCACTGAAGTATCCCAGAGCTTCATCACCTCAGAATTTTCATCTTCCTCTTATTCATTAAATTTAAGAATTAATTGAGAATTTCAAGATTAATATTTCTAACTGAGGGACCGTTCACCAATTGCATAAATATTTTCTAAGCGTATTTTGTTCTTTATTACTTTTTATGAATTATGGTATTATTGCTTTAAAATTTTCAGTACTCTTAAGTTGTTTTATGAGAACTCAATAATAGTTCGAGACAATATTTTAAAGGCAGCAAAAGATCTCAGATTTGTCATTCCAAAAAACTTTAATTAATCTCTTAATTGATTTTATTTGAATTGAAATCAAATTCTACAATTGAAATCAAAAAATTAAATTAAATCATATTTGCTAAATATTTGGAATGTAAGGACCATGTAATCATTTACTTCTGACAAAAATGTTTAGCTTCCAAACTCATTATATTTACATTTCAAAATTATTTTTAAAAAAATTTAATCATTTCATTAACACTAGATTGCCCAAGGAAGTCATTTTGACCGCTTTTTAGTAGAAAAACGATGATGCATATAATGACAAAATTTCTCAGAATTTTGTGACTTTTTATACAATATATAACTTTTTATTATTGTTAATATTTACTAATAACTTGTTATATAACTGTAAATATTATTAAAAAAATATTAAGAATTATTTTTAAACAAATTTCTTTACACATCATTTATTCATTCGCAATGCAGTCATTTCGACTGCTTTTGGGCACTATAGGTATATACTAAGTTTGTCTTTCTAGTATTAAAGAAATACTGAACCAAATAACAAAAATAACATTTTAAGGGTCTTACACTAATTTACATATGTGATATGAATTTATTTGAGTTTTCTAACTTTCCTTAATTTTTTACATATGTTTATAATTTCGGTATGATCAATAATTTAATCTTATTAATGTTTTGCTGAATATGCTTTTATAAAAAACTTTTATTTAAATCTAAAAAATACACGCGATAATATTTTTAAATAATAGTTAAAGTTCAACTTTGAATTAATTTTTTTGCATAATTAAATAAAGTAATTATTAATTTACAAACAAATTGAGCCACTTAACATTGAAGAT